TGAATGTTGTTGGCCATTGCACTGGAAAATACTTGGTTTCAGAGAGTTGCAGCTCTAAGGTTGTGTGGAATGGTTCAAACATGGGAAAATCCTGAACTGCTGTGAATTGGCCTTGAGCAGAGGCTATGCACTTCCTCATAGGGAAGGAAGGCACTGAAAGAAAACTCCTTGCTCCTAACTGCTCTGAAGCACTTCCTTGCTCTTGGTTAGAAAGCAGTGGCAGAGAGCTGGGAGTAGTCCAGCTTGTTGCATGTGGCCAGAGTAGGCTAAAGGGTGAGCAAAAGATAAAACAAATACTTTGCAAAAAAAAGCCATTAAGTTCAATGTTTCATTCATTACATACAAAAGGTTAATACATACATTATTCAACAGGTTTTGCTGATTTTTTGTTTCTCTCTGTCTCTACTCTGTTGCCTTTGAATTAATACCTGTGCGCAGCATTGCAAGCTGTGTAGGAGGCATTAATTTTCAGACATTGGGGGAGGGGCGTAAAAGAATTGTTCACGGAGCTACAGAAATCTAATTTAATGGAGAAAATGACAAGAAAAGATGCTTCATGGCTGAGTATTATGCAGCTGAATTAAATAGCATTATAAAAAAAATCTAAAGCATTGAAGGAAATTTAGTGCTGAGCACAGGATATGGCTGTGCTTAAACATCTCCAGCTCTCCCTGAGTGTATCTTGTTCATACAGCGATACATGAAGGCTAGTGACTCTGGTAAACCTGCAGGAGGGGACTCCTGCTGGCCCTGAGCACCACCTCAGGCATCACGGATGTACAGACTGAGAATATTGAATCAGTTGCTTTCCACTGTGCACTTAGGCCAATTTAGAAATGAAACCTTTAGTGAATTACTATAGCAAAAAGAAATTAAATAACTTTTACAAGCTCAGCATTATCCTGCCAGCCATATGGGAAGATCCCAGCATGGCCTGCCTCTTCTCAACACAAGGCTGACAGAAATAGCATCATCTTGATATTACCCACAGTGCTAGAAGGCAAGTGCATGCCCATAATAGGTGGTGCAGTCAGCTTCAGTGACAGTGCTATCGTCTCAACCTGTGTGTTAACTCGATTTCTTCACAGATGTAGGTTAAATTGGTTAAAAATTGAATTAATGAGAATTTCAGAAATTCTGAACAATTTTTGCAGATTTTGATTAGCTCACTTCTCACCAATGGCCTGTTTGATTTTGCCTTCACTGCAGTTCCATTGCCAGTGACAGTACAGATACAAATAACTCTTGTTGTTATTCAGGGACAAGTACTTCATGGGCTGCTATCTGTTAGCTAAAGGCTGTACTTAGCTTGTTTATTTTGTCTACTTTGATACCTCCACTCAAATAGCAGGATGTCTGTAACCAGGTTAAGAAATCAACTAGTAATATGTTCATGGGGAGGCGATGGCCTAGTGGTATTTTTGTTGGACTGGTTATCCAGAGACCCAAGTGATATTCTGGGGACCCGGATTCAAACCCTCCACACAAATGGTGGAATTTGAATCCAACAAAAATCCGGAATGAAGAACCTAATGATGGCCATGAATCCATTATTGATTGTTAGCAAAATGCATCTGATTCACTAATGTCCTTTAGAGAAGGAAATTGCCGTCCTTATCTGGTCTGGCCTACATGTGACTCTAGACCCACGGCAATGTGGTTGACTCTTAACTGCCCTCTGGGCAATTAGGGATGGGCAATAAATGCTGGCCTAGTCAGTGATGCACATATCCCGTGAATGAATAAAAGAACCTAGCAACTTCCAGGTTACATTTTACATACAGATCATGAAGGCAATGCAAGTTGCACTGCATGTCATGAGTGGGTCATCAGCTCTCCCCCCAGAATCTCAATGGCTCTTTCTATCTAGTCCTCCCTGGACAGTCCACTTCAGCTGAATGCACGTGTTCCACCCACAGCCTTGCACTGATCCCCGCTGCCTCCCCACCGCACTGTGCTGCACAGTTCCCCTGTTGAGGCCATGATAGTGGTGACTCTCTATCATCCTTCTTGCCTCCTACAGCATCCCATGGCAAACCTTGCACGACCAGCTCCCTCCCTTTTTGTATTGTGTTTCCCTCCCCCGAACTCTTTCAATGTCATTGCCCCCTCCGCATCCCAGGATTCTTTACATTCTTCCCCCCACCCCACAGAAATGCTCATTCCACTGACACACAGGGCTGATTGTAGCCCACTCCTTGGACTGTACTGACTACAGCCATCCCATGCAGATGACTGACCAAAGTCCCTGGACTGTGAATGGGCACGGGCCTGGATTGACTGCACTGGGAGTCCCTGACTAACAGCAGTCCCCCTTAACTCAATGGAGGACTCCACCGTGCACCTCAGAGAGGTCCCAGGCCATTTGGTTACAGCACACGCAGTATGTTTACCAAGGAAAGCTGGTAGCTGTATTCCTTTTCTGGGAAAATCAAGAACTCCATCACAGTTTAACAATAAGGGCTCACTCATTTAAGACAGAGATGAATCATAGAATCCCTACAGTGTAGAAGCAGGCCCTTTGGCCCAGCATCCCACCCAGACCAATTCCCCTATAACCCACCTAATCTACACACCCCTGAACGCTAAGGACAATTTAGCATGGCCAATCCACCTAACCTGCACATCTTTGGACTGTGGGAGGAAACCAGAGCACCCGGAGGAAACCCACACAGACATGGGGAGAATGTGCAAACTCCACACAGACAGTCGCCCGAGTGTGGAATCGAACCCAGGTCCCTGGCGCTGTGAGGCAACAGTGCTAACCACTGACCCACTGTGCCACCCTGAAGAAATGTTTTCTTTTCCCTCTAAGGTTTGCAAGCCTTTGGAATTCCCTTCCTTTAAAGGCAACAAATACAAAAGCTTTAAATGTTTTTAAGGCAGAAATATTTGGATTCTTGATTACCAAGGGGATGAAAGATTACCAGGGAGATGCAGTGCAGAATGGTGCTGTAAGGGTCAGAGCTGTGCCATGAGGGTATACAGAGGCTGGCATGTGTCAGATGCCAGGGTCTGTGGACTTGGGGTACATGTGGTTGCTGCCATGGAACTTGCTCTGAGACGCTGGTGCCAGGTGTCCAAGATGGCAGTCAAAAGAGCAAGTGGTGAGCTGAAGTCTGCTCCTTGTCAGCAACTCATGGCCTCTGTGCAGTGGCTGAGAGAATAGGCAGCTGCACATTAATGAGGTGAGATTTGGTGATAATGAGGGTGCCAATGAGCAATAATCCCTGTTAATAGGCATTTTGCCACTCCCTAATGAGAATCTCACCGTGATGCCCAGAACTCTGTGGGAAAGAGGTTGGACTTGTTGGTCCTGTCATTGAGAAAAGCCTCACTGAACATCCTGTGCAATTCTCCCAGATTTCTCGCTACAACCCATGTCATTCAGAGCCTGAGAAGATTGTCTATTATTTGTATTTTGCTAAGCACAGTATTACAATTATAATAGGTCTGCATATGTGCTTGTATTTCTCATTCAAGTCTCTGGTTTGATTTTGGTATCAGTATTTAAGATTAAACCTGCTTATGCAACTGCTTAGATGGAAATCCTGTGAGTTAACAGTTGCCTGCAACAGTTTAGTTACAAGTCCAAGTCAGTAACTTCCATTGTAGAACGGGGAGGCAATGGCCTGTGGTATCAACTGAACTGGACTATTAATCCAGAGACCCAGGTAATGTTCTGGAGACCTGGGTTCGAATCCTGCCAGGGCAGATGATGGAATTTGAATTCAATAAATATCTGGAATTAAGAGTCTAATGATGACCATGAATCCATTGTTGATTGTCAGGAAAACCCATCTGGTTCACTAATGTCCTTTAAGGAAAGAAACTGGCATCCTTACCTGGTCTGGCCTACATGTGACTCCAGACCCACAGCAATGTGGTTGACTCATTACTGCCCTCTGGGCATTTAGGGAGAGACAATAAATACTGGCCTAGCAAATGAAAGAAAAAAGAACCTGTTGCTTAACTCTCTAAGCCAGTTCTATCTCTACCTCTAATAGAGAGGAACTTTAAGTTTGGCAACTGACTACACCTTATGCCTCAGGCAATTTAAAATGTATTCTGGTTTTGAATATTTCCTCTTTCAAGGAGCTGGCAAAGGCACGATGGGCTGAATGGCTTGCACTTACATTAAATTGCTGTACAATTCCATGGTTCTTGTACTCTTCTGTGTGCTGTATTTGTTAAAGGTATTATCATAATTGTTTTCCCACAGATTAAATGAAAAAAAACCAACAGAATTTTGGTATACTCAAAATGTTATAGACTTGGCAATGAAAAGCAATGTCAACTGCCAATGGGACATTTGTAGGACACAAAGTGACTACTGAAACTGATTCACTTCTTGAGTATTTAGATCTGAGAACAATCACTTACTTTATCCTCAGCAAGTCTTGGATGCAGAAATAAATAAATAAAGGCTAACTCAAGGGCCCATTAATCCTTTCAGAGCACATTTCCAGTGAAGGAAAACAACAGACTCACTAAAGAACTTTGTTAAGGGAAATAAAAATAACTAAGCATATCTTGTTGCGGCAGTGGGTATAAAGATTATCAGAAAGAGTAAATATCAGTTATGAATGGTTCGAGTCAGGGAGGTTTGAGTAAGGTACTAGAAAACAAATTCATGCTTCAGAATGTCCTTCAGTTCCTGTGACTGACTCACTGCCCATGTGTACTCTACTATAGATCACTACAAGTGGAAAAGCTGTGGTTAAGTGTACAGGGACTGGCTGTCTCGTAATAAGCTCTTACTGTGAGGAAAGCCTTTCTGGAATATGAGTAGAGAATAGCAACACACCACATGTTAAAAAACAAAATCTGGTCGAATAACCCGCATATTTGCATGTGGGCGGGAGGTTTTGCAACAGCTTCTGAGTAATCATTTATTGGTTCATTTACAGCATTGCACTAATGATTTGTAGAAAACGTTTGTCAATGTCCAGCTTTGTAGTGTTGCGAAAGCAGGAAGTGCAGCTCATTCTGATGTTGAACAATGACTTTGTTTCATGTGGAATCAAGACACTTGTACTGAGTTACTCAGAGATGCGGAATTCTACTAGAATCCTGCTTTAATTCTTCGCAGCTATCCAGCTTCCTCTTCGAAGAGACAACTGCAGATTGTTTGGAATTATATTTTGTCACAGTTTTGAAACAAGAATCGTTTCAGGGTTAGTATTACCACAGATAATGTGATATGTGTATAATTAATCAGGAATAATACGCTGACTGAGCTTAAGAACTATTGTCCCAGTGATTATTTTGACATGGAAAGGAAACGTGAAATAGCTGATAAAAAAAAAAGACCTTGGAAATGGATATCCAGTGACTATGTTGTGGAAGAAACTGAAGCTGAATGAATCTATTGATTGATTGAAAATGTAATGTAACTCAGCCTTTTGAATTAGCATTTAGTGGAGCTGGGAAGAAAACAGGTTGGGACATTAATATGTGGTTACAGAGCTGTTTGGCAAAGATTTAACTGGCTGGTGTCTTCACAGGATTAACAAAAAAAGGCCTCGTGGTGACATGCTACAATGGAGCAGCAACAGAACCATAACCCACATGCTCTAGGAATTCAGAACAACCTCCTTTATAAACCAGGCACGGGCTATCAGCAAGAAGCTCAGGTCAGTTCAGCTGCCTTGCTACTTTAAGAGCTTGACTGGTGTTTAAGATTTCAACATGTGCACTTCATCAATGTTCTTTCAAACAGTTACAAAGTTTGATATCGTTTTGGGCCAAGTGTCAAACCAGACAGTGGTTGGTAACACAGTAAGAGCAAGTTCAATTATGTATGATATAGGCTTAACTTGTGCTGAGATGAAATTAACTTTTTGCAGCTCACAATACTCCTGCTGAAAGACAGCATTCTTTGGCCACTGCCAGTTTAATAAAGGAATTCCCCTGAACTGTCTGCATGTAAAATAAAGCAAGTAGTAGTTACTAATAGGAGCTGGTTTCTGATCCCTGACTCCATGCAAAAAATGTGACAAATATGGAATAGAGTTGAAATAATATTGCAGGTTGAATTGCAAATGGACCTAGATTATTCTGAAGGACTTCAGGTGATCTTTAACTGGAACTAACTTCTTTAAAAATACAGAAAAATCACTGCTCAGCATCTGCCACAGAAAGTAAGATTAAGTTTGGAATAAAATTTTCATATGGCCATATCTGAGAAAGTGTCAAACCTAAAATATTTGCTTATTCTTCCCTTTCAGATACCAAGTAATTTCCTGTGCAGTTTTTAGCATGATTCTGTCTTTAACATTGGATGGGGCTTCTTGCTGTTCATTGCCTTGATACTTCTAATTTCGCGTATATGTTCCTATTTTGTTAGGGAACAAGTTTTGGTATTCATTTAGTTGTTTCACGCTTGTGTGTTGCTGAAAATTGATCCATAAATGGAAATAAATCCCCCTTTATGGTTTTTTCACGATTCATTAGATTTTCTGAAATACATCTCCTTTGAATGGCAAGGAACCTCTGTATGTTAGAAATATTGGTGACGTTTTACACACATGCACGTTACCTGATCTAAGATGAGGCAATTTTTTTTGGAGTGTAGGGGGTTGAGGAGTGACCTTATAGAGATTTATTAAATCATGAGGGGTATAGATAAAGTCAATGGCGGGTATTTTTTTCCCTAGGTATTAGGGGAGTTCAAAACCAGGGAGCATATTTTTAAGGTGGGAGGAGAAAAATTTTAAAAAAGGACACGAGGGGCAATGTTTTTTACACAGAGAGTGGTTTGTGTGTGGCATGAACTTCCAGAGGAAGCGGTGGATGCGGGTACAGGTACAATGTTTAAAAGACATTTAGATAAGTACATGAATAAGAAATGTTTGGTGGGATATGGGCCAAGCGCAGGCAGGTGGGACTACTTTAGTTTAGGCTAATGGTCGGTGTGGACTGGTTGGACTGAAGGGTCTGTTTCCGTGCTGTATGACTCTATGACTGTATACCTTCTCAACAACTTTATAAAATCCAAAGACAATAATGGCCACAGCTGCTGGCTCCCATTGTGGATTGCCACCATGTCCTTCCTTTCTCTGGGATGATGTTGCGAGGGGTGGTATGGTGTTACCACACCAGCCAGTGCCGCAAAGTAACGTGTGCCTGCCTCCATTTCTGACCCCATACAGGGGTGTAAATCCTGCTCTCGATTTCTATCCAGCGACTCTGTTTTGTGGGCAACAGTGCGTGAAGATCTCACATGACTTCATTGCCATTGGCTTGTTCAAGTGCAAGATGCTTCAGGATGCATTCGGCTCAGCTTAATTTGTCCAATAATGGCAGATCCACACTCCCTGTACCCTCACTTACAGTTGCTGAAATGATTATGGGATGTTTGCTTCCACTGTGCTGGTTGGAATACTTCTTGTGGGAAGAAGAATCTGCCAATATCAGTCCTGTTATCTATTTGTCATTTACACCATTGTTCCTTAGTCTAACTGCTTGGTTTTATCTTTTTAAAGACATTTCAGACTTAACCTTTATCATACCCCCATAAGATCTGCACTCTGATACCTGCTGTTCAGACTGAAAACTCGAGCAATCAAAGGAACATGACTGGTCGAGTAGAAACTTGGTCAGTGGACATTTAAAACAAGTAGATCACTTCCCGTCTACTCCAAATAACTGACCATGAACGGTGTTAACTGGAGGGGTGCGTAAGCAAAAAGGCAACTTTAAAAATGTAACTCGGGGTTGAAGCGCTGTATTCCTGCTCCTATTTCTTATGTTCTAAAACAGACTGCTCAATGTCTGAAATGTTCTTTTGGAGGTGGGCAGATCCGAAATCAGACAGCCAAATATTGCAAATATTTATAAAAGGTGAAGTGTGAACACTGCAGACAAAGGCAGCTTTATTGCCTGTGCCTAATTGCCCTTAAAACATGGTGAAGAGCTGCCTCCTTGAATCACTGCAGTCCATGTGCTTCTTTTCCGTTCTGTGCCCCTTCCGAAAGTAGATACTCTCTGCAGGTTAACTATGGATGTAAAACTGTATCGAATCATGTCTCCTCCAAGAGGAGGGAAGGAAAATGCTTCTACAAATCTGGTGCTTTCTGCATTGTTAAGCAATGAATCACCAAATAGCACATGGGCAGGCTTGAAGCAGGAATGGCATCAGATGGAAAATGTCGTTGAGTTTGTTAAAGCTACTGGGCTATTATTATCATCCCAATTCATCATGCAATGCCATTGAATGCGGAAACATTATTTTATATTCCTCCATAAGATCAGCCCTTAGAGGATGACCAATTTTCTTTGTATGAAAAATCATGGAAGAAATCTTGGGTATTGTGCAAAAGTTTCCCTGATCAGTTGATAAAGTGAAGAGAGAAAGGCGTTTTTAAAGCCAACAGTATCTAGGCATTTGCTGGGGGATGTGCCAGGGATCATGATGCGCAGGGACTGAGACAACTGTGTTACATGGTGAAATGACACATCACTGCTCCACCAGGACTGGAAATGTGAAAATGACAGCTCTGCACAATTTAGAAGCAGGAGCAGGCCATTCAGCCCTCAACCCTGGTCCACCATTTGAAAAGATCATGACTGGTCTGACTTTGGCCTCGACTCCACTTTGTTGTCTACCTTTCTCCATGAGCCCTTAGCAAGTTCTCTCCTGCTATGTTCCTAAACATGCTGCATAAACATGCTATTCGCCACACCTCTATAGCACCCCGTGTTGTCGTATTTTCCAACTCACCAAGGTGAAAGTTCTGGCCACTGCCACAATCTCCTTGGATTCTTGGCTCTGGTGCCATCTTTAGGCCATGCCATGCCCCTGGTCAAACGCTGGCAGTCTGCCATTGCCCTGCATGGTTCCTGTCGATTACCCCAGATATTTCGGGTAGAGGTGAATTGGCACATGCTTTGTCAGCTGGGACCTGGAAGTTCTTGTGGAACAGTGGGTGTGTGTGATCACTGTCTGTGCAGTGTGTCCTGAGATCTTAGTGACTGGTGGAGGTCCAGAGGAGCTAGGAGTTGCCAGGATATTGTTCTGACTCTCATGTTGGGAATTATTGTCTAGCTTTTGTCCAGCACATGGGAGTTTGAGAAGCTGCATGTCAAAGAGGTGAAATGATATCACAGTGAGAATATAAGTGCATAGCAAATAGACCTCTTGCTGCTCAGTAGTGAGAGTCTCAGTGAACTGCACAACATTTGGTTGGAACATGGGACATTTTGCTCTCAAAGCTCCTCGTTGACTGTCTCATGTGATTCTCCAACTTTCTAACCATTGCCCTGTCATTCAGGGACTGCGAAGATTCTGCCCTTCTGCTTTTTAAAATATTGGTTTCAATTATAATGACATCCCTGGAAAATTTTCCCCCGAAACACTTCTACAAATGTGCATATTGTGTTTAGGCAGCAAAATGTAGCAGACATAGATTTGTCTATAACCTTTTTCCAGAAAACAGGACTCATTCATCACTACTATGTAGGTAATGAGCAAAGCTAAAGCTTGGTAATAATTTACGAATTTCAAGCTGTTGCCTGGTATATGTTTATGTGAGGATTGCATGCCTATGGAAATATTTATATTAAATTTCAGCAAGTGCGATGGTTTAGATAATGATTTAAAATTGACAGTTGTTTGATTAGGAGACAAATTAATTTTAAGTGTACCTCCTGGGAAATGTCTTGGGGGGAAATGACTAGATTGTGTATAGCAGCTCCTGTATCATTGCACAAGATCCTGTGGGATACTTTGGGGATCAAACACAGACCTCCTCTGCAATGCTTGGACAGCAAATTAAAAAAAAAAAAATCCTTTGTAGTTGCACCAGGAAATTGCACAATTCCGAACATGGATGCAACTATTAAATAATGTTCAGGAAGTTGTGTTCTGTGTGCTGTGCATTTACATTTATTTTGTACAGGACATCCTCAGTCATTTCCTGTGTAACATTCAGAAAATGAGAATCTCCAAGTTATGTTGTCAGTTTTAGTTTAGTTCATTTACCAATTTAACCAGTCAAAAATATCCTCATATTTTTCATGGATTTATACATTGATTAAGGCTTCCTAAGAATGCATTGTTACATTTCTCCAAGTCCTCTTCCAAATTATTCAAAATTTTGATCAAATATTGTAGAGTTGAACAAGTAATTTTGAATTGGTGAATAGTTTGCAAAATGCCCTGCGTAGGATGCCAGCTCCTTTTTTTCAACTAGATTTGGAGGACAATATTTTTACAGATGCTAAATGATAGAAAATATCTGCATAGTTTGAATTTTGCTAAAGGAGATTTGGTTCTTGGAGGATTCAACCTCAGACTGGAAGTATTGGTAATTTCTTTGCTGGATCCTAACTTAAGTAATGCAAACTGAGAGTTGTTTGCATGATCAGGAGAATTCGGATTTATCTTGATGTGGTTGTTATCTTTTTCTGTTCTCATTTAGTCAATGGGAAAGTAAAGGAAGAACAAATTTGCACATTTCTATACTGTCAGACTCTCAGGATATCCCAAAGTGTTCCACAGCCAATGAATTGTAGTTATGGCAAATGTAGATGGCAGCTAATTGCCGTGAAATAAAATGCCACCAAATGCAACAAAGTAGGGGAGATGTTAAGCTGTCTTCAGCGTGCTGGTTGAAGAGCAAATGTTGTCCAG